TGCGAAACGTGGTTCGCTGGGGAGGGCTCAGGACGATGACTGTGCATATATATAATTATGCGAGCAGGAGTCTCAGCACCACTGAACCCGTTCCAGCCGAAATGCCTTTCACGACTTATGCGGTCGGTATGCCTCTCCAACTGCTGGAGGTTCTGAGTATGGTACGCTTAGAACCATTTGTGCAGGCATTTTTTCGTTTTTCAATAAACGAGTCCGGCACTATGCATGCCTTCAGTATGATGCCAGATGTTCGAATGCATCCAAACCACATCACACTATATAATTAGCTATGAACGTGTGCATTTATCATCGCTCATTTCTGTTTGCTTCAGCCAGTCCATCGCCAGTCATCCACTGCAGGACCGTGCTGCAGATGTTCCCCTCCGCGGGGCCCTGCTGGTGGCCGAGATGGGCGAGCCCGAGCTGCCGGGGCGCCCCGACGCGGGCGGCACACGGAAGGAGCGGCTCGGGACGTTCACGTCGCGATGCACCGCAGGGTCGGTACGGAACCTTATGGTGTGGGGTGGTTGGAAGGTCCAACGAAAAGACAGGTGATCTGCCGAGTTGTGGGGAAGTGGATGGTGGATGGTGGATTCAGAATAGCCGTGTTCAATTGTCGTAGCAGCAGGTTTTTTTTGAAAGTACTTGTGAAGATTGGACACATGATATGATGGCGTACATCACTCATTCCATCTCATTCAATTTGATCACTCATTCCATCTCATTTCATTAGTTTCTGGATGTTTCTGGTACTTGAGTATGTTTCCCCTACTCCACGTTCTTTGGTGATGCGGCCATGCTCCAAAGTCATCAGAAGACAAAGATCGTGTTGAGATCTGCTTCTTGTGGCATCTCGTGGCTACCTGAGCCGGTGCTGAGCATGGATCTCGAGTCCGACCGCATGCCAGCATGTGCTCAAGCAGATGGTTTTCATGCAGGATGGAGCGCCAATGTCTTCATATGGATGGAGAGGACTGCGCAAGGCTAGTTTTGACAAATCGTTTGGATTAAGGGTACGCAGAAGTCAAACCATCTATTGGCCAAGGATGCCAAAGGACTTTCAGGGACTACACTGTGGTTGCAAAGATGTGTAAAGATGGAAACTGCCAGGGCTAGTTTAGAAGAGGATTGTCCTTGATGGGGATTAGTTTGTCAGTGTTCTATGTCTATTTGGGTAGGGGATGTAGGGGGTATGGTAGAGTCGAACTTATCTTGCATCATATATGCTGATGTACCGCTGGTTTTGCGGTGAGGGGACTTGTAGATGGACTATTCCCACAAGCCGCCAGGAGCCTGACCTGCTTCACTGCTCTGCCAGCCGGAGCAAACCCAACTGACGCTGTTTGAGCGATAGAAAAAAGACGAAGCTGAGCGGTTTGTTGCTGTGCTCTAGACAAGGCCCTCAAAAACACCATAGGGGGTTCCCATGACTCATGTGAATCACTGCCGTAATATTCGCTTCTCTTCTATGGGCGGAGAGCCCATCGCACCAGCGGCATACGAAGCCTGTTGGGGACCAGACTTGAAGAAAAGCCCAAAACCACAGATGCAGCACCTGACAAAACCGTGTTGCACAGAGGCCCACCGCCTCACTTGCACCCCACTTGGCGACCCGTCCTGAGGCCCACACTATAGATAGATTCCTTCAAGGGCTCGCCCTTTCAAAAAGTGGACCAGTTCCAAGTCAACATTTGCTGGGGGGGCTCGAGTGAGAGGACCATGGACCATGTCAGTGATGTTTGAAGGTTGAAACCCCTTCCGTTTCAGACAGTCTACACCTGCCCAGAGGCTGTTACTCACTTGCAGCTTGTTGATCCTCTCCAGGTCGAGCACTTTGCTAAATCAATCTTCACCCGTTAGTTGACGGAATTGACTGTTGAATTGAATTGCTTTTGGGTTGAAGCTAGACCTCCTTCACCTCACCTCTCCAGCAAGTGCTCACAGCGCGCCAAAGCCAAGGCCCACCCGTCAGCAGCAAGGAAGCCCAATGATGCTGTGGGGCGGGGCCCATGGGCGCGTTTCTTTACAGGATAGGTTATACCGTTATACCCCAACCCATAGGGTTCAGCAAGCAATGATTGTCATGTTTATGTTGCAGAGCTTCATTGTCGACCCTCAATGTTGAATGTTCCTTCATGTTCCTAGCAGGAAAGTTTAACTTAGTGACTTAGTGTTTGATTCGGACTAGGCTTTACTTTCTGAAAGCTGTAAATCAATCACTTTGTTCTTAACTCAAAGAGGTGGAGCACCTCATGTTTCACCCTTCGTTCTGGTGCTCCAGTGGTGATTAGCGTGGGGATGTGTTCCCCAGGACTGCCGACTATACATGTTGGAGCATTCCACTGTAAAAGCCACATCACCCGATCATCATAGTGTGGGGTGACCAGAATATACTATACACAACCTATGACTTACAACGCTTGATATGTTTTTGATTGTTTTTGTTTCTTGGCTTGTGTTTGGTGCCTATCAAAAAGCCAAGTGACTTGATACTACTTGTACCGAAGTGCTATGCTGGGGACTTGCATGGATACTTCAGTTTATATCTAAGATAACCAAATTGCCGACTCCGGGGAAACCTGGCAGCGCCTCCTGGTGTGGGATGCGGGGGCCGTTTGAGTTTCAGATAGACCCTTCCTCCAACGGGTTTCAGAGAAGTGGATGGCACACCCCCTGTGGAAAGACGATGAACTCGCCAACCAGCTCCTGAACTCCACGAAACCGGTGATTCGACGTCTTTGCAGCCGCGACCCCGCGACCAACCGACCTGTCGGCCGACAAGAGCCCGTACGAAGAGTCGGTCCGAGCCCAGCGGGGTTCCCTCTGGATGGATCCTCCAAGTCTGAGCGCCTAGGATGAGGTGGAGTCTTGCAAAAGGAGAGGCCATTGGCGTGCAGTGCGTGGCAGTGCGTGGCTTCACCCATGGTTGGTCAGCAAATGGCGAATTGGAGAACCATCCAATGTTGATCTTGGTGCATCCCGGATGGTCGTGAGGTAGCTTCGCATGCTAGGAATACCTTTGTGCAGGCCAGATAGCTTTCTACATTCGCAATGAAAACGCCGTACAGACTGGACATGGGTCTTGATGCAGGAAACCCGGAGCAAGACCCAGTGATGGGAACCCACTCTTTGTAGCAACCGCCTTGGGTATGCCCAGCATCCTGAAAGCACTTCTGCTTTCTGCCACGTTTGAGGAATCATGAATGGAATGATGCAATTGGGAAAGGCACCAAAGGCTAACAGTGTGTCCTTTCTACTTCCCCAAGGCCAACATAGCCCCTCACTGCTTCGGTAGCGTAGGGAGGGCCAAAAACTGGTGGAAATCCGCGAGGACCGCGTGCAAATACGGCTCCAAGTGCTACCAGAGGCGCGAGCTGGCACCATCAGTAGCCCACTCCCGTTCCATCATCATGGTTAAGACGTATATAAGTGTGGATGGCATGGCCCCCTAGTTGGATGTTTCCCTTTTCCGAAGATTAGACAGTATGTTTTCCACTTGAACGGATGATTCCAGTCGCTTACGTCCCGTGGCAGGAAAAACCGCGGAACCTGTCGCATCCGACGAAGGTTTGAACTCGGATGTTGGACTGGTGTGGAACCGCAAAGAAGGTCAAACCCAAAGCTAGTTACAGTGGTGTCAGAGTAGAGGGCACAAAGCCTAAGATGTCTTTGGCATTTGGGGAGCGGGTGAAGACGCTTTTTCGACCAGGGCGCAGTCAGCTAGTCCTATACATCCTTGGAAGAATCCATGGTGACAATGCTGGCTAAGCACCACCTGTTTGTAGGGGCATGCCATCTGAAATGACTTGTGATAACACTTCTTCTACACACGAACCTTTGCTTTGCACATTCCCATCGCTGTAATCACCGTAGGTAAGAGACCAGCTGGGTGACTTGCGGTTTCCACACCCTTGCACCACCTAGTTTACACATTTGTCCACATGTGTTTGTTGTCTTCTTCACTTCCTTCCATGTCGGGCTTTGGGCTTTGGCCGGTACTCGTGTCAAGGGCTTTGGACAGGCCAGGACTCTCGTTCGCTGCGGCCAATTGACGGTCCAGAGTCTGCCTTCTTGGCAGACGGGCGGAACTTGAAGGTTCGGAGAATGGTCTAGCCGCCTAGCCATCGGTTCATCCCTTCTCCACATCGGTAAGCGGACCACATCTGCAGTTCTCTCCACATCGGTAAGCTTCAACAACGGTACAAGTATTAAAAACGGCGTGTTTGTCGTTGTGTTTGTTTCTTAAACTTTGCTTGGTGAACGGATGGAGCAAGTTTTGCCCTGCTTACATTTGGTAGGTGTCGCGATTTCAGGTGTCTTGCGGGCTGAGGAGATCCAAAGTGAAGAATATAATTCATGTGAAGCCCAGAAAAGTTTTCTCCAAGGCCTTGAACCAAACCTATCATGGGTATGTATGCGATTTCCATTCATTTTCCATGTATTTTCCTGTGGGACCTTACTCCTTCAACCTTGGCCTCCCCTTGGTTTTGCTCCTCGAAGTCGCTGCGATGCCTGCGATGCGCCCAGCCAGTGACCCAGGGACCCCAGCCACCTAGCCAGGTGCGCACGAAGGATTTGGGAAGGGGTTGTGACTGTCGGGACTGTCGGGGAGAAAAAAGACCAACAAACGACATGGAAAGTGGACATTTCACAAAAACCAGCAACCAGCACCCAGCAGCAGCAAGCAGCAGCAGCAGCAGCAGCCGCAGACATGCTACCTTTCGTCCACCCCCGTCTCCTCAAGTGGCCCCTGGAAGATCCTGGAAGACCAGTTTTCATCCATGAAATCGTCTCAGACCACTTTCGGAAGTGGAACTCCACAACACCGCTGATGAGACAAAGGGGGTGTTGTTGGAAAAACTCGTTGTCCTCTCTTGGTTTCTCATCACAGTTGTTTCCTCGGGTCCGAGGTGACGCGTCGGCCAGTGCATCTGGGGGAAGGAAAAGGCAGATCTATGGCTGTGGTGAAGCCGGTGGTTCTTTTCATTTGGCTGCTTCGGCCCAAAGCTCGGCAGCCCAAAAGCTTTAGTTGATTGATACATGCTACATCATGCTACTGAACCTTCCTTTTTAAGTTTAATGATTCATTATCATTGATTTCTGTGTGTTTCCCCGTTCCTGGACAGCAAACCCACGCAAAAGAATCAAGGACCTCGGTTGACCACACCGCCAATACTCGCGCACCGATGACATCAACACTGGACCTTTTGTCAATTTGGTGGGAGGGGGATGCCTTTTGGTACATGTCCACTTGACCCAGCAACGGCGTCGTCTTTCCAACAAGGTCAACCAATCCATGCTTTACAGGATGGGTACGGTACGAGCTGAGTGACCCACACCCACACCCACTATACTCAGGATACATTCCCCTGGGAGTCAAAGACTATATACACTATACACAAAGAACGGTCTTGAGTTGACCTTTTTCCGAGTCTGGGAATGTCCTTTAGCTCAAGGATAAAACCACCAGATCAGGAATCAACCGGCGGGAGTATACCTATTGCATGATCCTACGCATATGCTTCTATGATTTTATATGGCTAGCAGCCATATGGAGTGCCATATGGCTATATGTGGCATCAGTGGCATCTAGGTAGTGAGGCCAACTATCTAGTAGCTTACCGTAAGCGACCGTGCCTTCGACAGTGGCAGGGCCGTCCAGCGCCCGCCAGGTTCGCCCACCCGGGCGACCGGAACTATCGCACCGGACTGGTGCTGTGCGGACACCGAGCGGCGCCGGCCGTCCGGCGGCTTCTGGGGGGATGTGGGTGTCAGACACACACACACACACACACACACACACTTGAGAAGGTTGCTCCGTGGAGCGCGATTTCAGGCTGCTTCGCGGTGTGCATTAGCACTTTAAGGGTAGTTACTGCATTAGCCGAATGCATTAGCACTTTACTGCAAAACAACGTATGAGACAGCGTTGAACTGACTTAGAAGCATCAATGAGTGAGAATTAAAATTGCAGGTGCAAGATACTGCGTCCAGTATCTCTTCCAACCGAACACCATAGCTTTGTTAGCACGGCTAGGTGAACGGCCGCCGTGCCCCCTGCTACTGTACAAGGTCTGAAAAGTCATAGGAATAGAAATAGCTAGAGTAGTGTCCTTGGAAACAGGAGTGGACACACACACACACACGCAACACTCACATGAAAACCATCCAAAAAAGCATTTCGGTTGGTATGAGGAACATGGTCGAAACCATCTGAGCTCATGCAAATTTACGGGTGGGAACCTTCGAGAAGGTTCCAGTTTGGCAGGAGGAAGGTCTCATTGTGCGCGACCAGCATACGACGTCACTACGCGTGTCATCTCCATTGGGCCATTGCATGGGCACTCCGAAAGAACTTCCGTGAAATTCAGGTCGACCAAGCTGACGAGCACCGCCGAGCAAGCTGACGAGCACCGCCAAGCTCGATACCTTCCTTTTCCCTTTGGTATACCTCTATCCCAGACAGGCCCCCCTGGCATCACCCCTGGCCTGATCGGCATATATGGCATACATGGAGTGTTTGGGTATTATACTCTTATACCTTTAGGTCCTTTGGTTCACCAGGATTTTGCTACTACTCACCCAAGGCTAAACTAACCCCTTGGCAGGAGATCTAAAGACAGGCAAGAGCTGCAAACACGGAAGTGGAAACTCGTTTTCCAAGCTGCAGGTTGGTGAACAAAGAGGCCCAGTTCCACAGTGGACTTTAATAAGCTGCCCATGTCACGCAACCTTTCTTCGTCGCTGGAGGCAGCACTTGGACTGTCATCAGGTGGCGTCAGACCGTCCAGATGTGCACTGAGGTTCACCCCTTCTTTATGACACTTGTGAGTAGCATAGGTACTGCTGATTCCTTTGGGGGTTTCCTCTACGTACTAGGTGTGTATGTGTGACATATGTGATTTCGCCATGCCGAGCTCTTTAGCTTACTTTCTCTCAAAACCATCCATCGACTTCCTTTTCTCGGAAGGTCCTTTTCTAGAAGGTCGTGCCAAGTCATGCCGCCGCTGGTGAACACCAGGTGTTTGGGGGCGCAGTTGGCCGTGGTGCCCCACCAGCGGGCCAGCCACGTTGGCCCGCTGGTGACCTCACTTCACAAAGGTCGACCTATACGGGCCATTCACCGCCAGGTTCCCTGAGGGTCAGAAGCCAGAATTCGAGTCCTTGTGGCACCACTGGCGAGTTACAGGTTTTGCTCGTCAGCTTGGAAGACGAAGATGCCGCCTTCTTCTTGCGCTGGGTTTCTGAAAAGCAATCACTCAAGAGTGGCTGGAAAAGGCCCAAAGCTTTCCATGCATAAATGATCATAAATGCATATAACCATGTAACACCATGTACATATAGGTCAGATGTCAGATTTGCTTCTATAGGGGGTCTTGGGTTTCGGTGTTTTTGTTGGTCCATCGCCAGGCAACTCTTTCGCTTCCACGACCCAGACGAGTGGCTTGGCTCCACCGCGTGGCCCCGTTGAGATCAATCTGAACATCCCTAGGGCTCCAACCACCTCCTGAGAAGAGGATATGGTTGGAGCCCTAGGGCATACACCTGAACCTCCAAGTTATCAAACCTTTCTGGTTGAGCCTTTCTGGCCTCCAGCGTTGTCTTGAGTGGTGGTGCGTTGCTTTGAGTTCATTTGCAAGCATCTGCAAGCCAGGGGTGGCAGGTGCTAGTTCTGGCAACGGACAAAAGCCTTAAACTTTTTAGGGTGAGGACTTGGTGTTTTTCCCCATTCACCACCACGCAGCTAGAAACAGCGGCTGCTTTGCTCGCGGGACAACATGATCCCGTCAAGAAGGTGGGCTGATACCATGGCTGATTCGAGGTCGGGGCACCTGTCCAAAGAGGAGTTCTTGATGCTCCTCACCCAGTCAGGGCGCCCCAGGTCCAAGCGCTCGAGTCAACGCGCGGTCTGGTGGTGAAGACTCACCAGGCCGAGCCTGGTGGATGTCATGTTGGATCTTGAGCAAAGAATATGGAGAGTGAACACAGTCAAACCCAACAAAATGTGGATTTGACATTCACATCCAACCATGCAGCGTTGGTAGTTGTTTAACCTTGCCTTCTGACCGATTCTTACATATTCTTACCATTTAGACACTGAGGCATGGATGGTTTGGAGTCCGATGGCTTCAGGCTTTGTCCATGTTCCACTTGGGAGAATTGAACCCGACTCGTGACATCATCACTGACGACTTACGACTGTTGGTTTCCTTGGTGTTCGTGCTTCGAAACCCACCGGTGGGTCGGTCGGTCACCGACCAGGTCGGTCACCACACCGGACCGCCGACGCCGAAGCTTCGGTGCGCGGCCGACCGAGGTGTGGCCATTTGGTCTCCGGCGTGGGCGACATCCCCCAGGTGGGGGGCGGGCTTGGAGACGGGAGGCGAGGCTTTGGAGACGGGAGACATCCTGAAGAGGTTCACGGTGTTTTTGGGTTCAAAAAATGAGGTTCCAGGAATTTCCGATTTCCGGAGGTGGTCTGGACGCGTTTGGAACCTGATGTGGGAACTGGGAGCTCAAGAGGACGCGGGTCAAGGTGGCAAGACGTTGAGATGACTTCGCGTGCGCACAGGAGTGTTTGGCTAAGTTGTGAGGTTGTTTGTTATCAACATGCTGCTTGCAGGAAGTGCTACTGGGCTGGAGATACAGCTGGGATGGATGCATCGAAGTTGCCCTTTTGCCTAATAGGTCCAACTTCAATTGCATCTTCTCCTTTGAGTCCTTGGTGTGTGTGTGTGTGTTGGGGTACATGGTTAGCAACTGTCTCAGCAGCCCTTTGGAAGGGGCTCACCTTTGACTTTTAGCCTATCTACACTCTCACTCACTAACATGAAATGGTCCCTTGGAAGATTCTGAACTTCCATGTTGGTGAGTCGGAGTGTATGGTATTGTTGCGTTGATGGAAAAAGGTGAAGTTTTTGTTTTTTCCGTCCTACATGTGCTTTGTTTTGGAGGAGAAGTTGAGGGGACTGACACTTGCAGGCGACTGCTTGCAGGCTGTTAAAATTAATCAACGCACCTGACGCGCCTGGAACATTGAAGGCCTGTTAAGCCCAAAGTTGTGGGAGACGCCAATACGGGCTGGGATGGTGTTAAACCTTTTTGTTTGGACCCTGACATTTGTCACCTTGCGCTAAATTGTAATGCGGCTGCTTCAGTAATAATGATTACTTGACTTGAGGTGGATCCACTGATCTGGGTAGTTGAACTGGAGAAAAGCAAATCGTTTGAACACCTGCGCCGTGGGAACTTCATATACATTCATGAATTCATCTACCCAATTTGTTGTTTTGCTGGGTGCAAACAAATGCTGATGAAGGGCTGGCTCTCACCTTCGACCCTTTAGGGGGTTCTGTGGACGGATGAACCAGGATCATGTGATGAACAGCTGGGGCAGTATGGGGCAGTTTGTTTAATTCTTTTTATATGTTTGAAAGTTTTTGTCCAGTGGCACTGCTTGAAAAGAAACATATATAGACGGAATAGGCGGTTCTTAATATTGGTCACTATTTCAGAATCCCCATAGACGGATTTCATGGCAGGTGGTACAGGAGTTCTTTGCTTCTGGCCCCTTTGAATACATCGTTCTCTCCACAAAACATGCACATGGAACGGCACTCTGATGCACTATAATACCAGGGGCACTCAAAGCCTGAAGAACAAACACACAAACATAGACCTAAAACAGACACACACACACATAAACATAAACGTAAACCAAAAGCAAAGCAACACACACATAAACATTGCTTTCTTAAAATATGCTCACAACAAGTGTATATTAATTAGTATATATATATATACATGTGTGTTTGCGTGCTGTTCAAAGAGGTTTCTGGATCCGGCATGGCTCGCCCCCACTTGAAACGAGATGCTCTTTCTTTCCGTAGGTCTGGCGAGACGTCGGGGAGCCGAGGGTTCGTGGGTGCCGTTCATGGTTCGGTTCTTCTGGAAGAAACAGAAGCTCTTGGCGCAACAAGGCGTTTTATCTTGGCGTCTGAACCGCGGATTCTCCCAGATTCTCCCAAGAACCTAACTTCTTTTGCTTATTGTGTTTTCCAGGATTGGTGCCTATGGCTGGAGTCGACTCCCAGAAACATGGGATGGTTCTAAGCCATCGCTGTGTGCATGACTGTTCTTTGGACCACTGGATTCGCCGTGTGAATGACATTCTATACCATTCTGCTTTGCAGACCTAGTCTTTCTGAAGCGGCATTCGGTGACATTTCCAGGACTTCATGCATTGCTATTTTCTTTTTTGTTCATAGTTTTTATTAAGCTGCTTTTTCTAGGCTGCGTGAAGTAGTAAGGTTGAGCAAATCTTAGTTCTATTTTGTTAGTCCTGCGGACTTGTGTGTTGGAGAAACAGATCCGCGACTCAAAGTGTTCTGATGGTTGGTCTGACCAACACACTCTCAGGCTTTGCTCTCTACTCCCATTCCGGCACTTGCCAAGCGTTTCCCCCAAACGGCCATGGGGAATGGCGATGCTACATCAGCTTTTCCACTTCGTGGTTTTGTGTGGATGGTGTGATATGAGCATTCACTTGAAGCTTACCCTTCATCAAGACTGTTAGGACTCAGGTCACTGGGAGACCTTAGACGACGACAGGGATGGAGCAACCCTTCTTTAGCGAGGGCAACCCAGTGGGCAACCCTACTCAGACCCCAACCATTCCTTGATGCGCATGTCGTGGAATTCCTCGCACGCGAAAAGGGATGTTTGCTTCAACGTTAGAGAGTGGTTGTAGTTATAGTTGCTTTGACCGAGACCGCCTTGGCGATTCTTTGTTCGTTTGGTTCGGCCGTGACCGAAGGGCTTCTTGCTGCATGCCAAAATGGGAGAAGCACGACGCAGCACATGACAAAGGGATAGACTTAGCCTTTTTTCTCATCCAGCCCGTAGGTCGCAAGGAGCGGATTTTTCCACGACTGCAGGGAGACTCGTCTCTAAATTTTTCCTTTCAACTCAATTCATCAAAACGGCGATGAAGTGAACTCTTTAAGGCAATGCCTACAGAGGTTAAGTGACCTGAACTAGAACCCTACAGGGATACCTATATAGCATTTATAGCATAGTCTAGTTCGGGTTCTTCAACCTCTGCTGGTGATGTATGAAGTCAAGTTCTTTGAACTCAACAAAAACCCAGTCGACCAGTCGGCTGCGCCATGCTGCCGCGCCGGATCCAATCGGTCACGTGACCGGTTTGCCAATGCCGCGCCTTGGTGGGAAGGGTTTGGTGCTCTATGATTCCCAGACGCTCCATATATGGAATATATATATATATATGATATTATATGAACGTAGTTATATATAGAGTTATATGCATATTCAAAATACGTACGTAGTTATATATAATATGTTGTATATTATATGTACGTAGTTATATAGTATATGTGCAAAAAATCCCCCCCAAGCCACCCTAACTGATGGTCAATGAACATGTTTGAACCCACCGGTGTTATAAACTTTGCGCATGCCATAGCACTGTATATATTGAAACAGGATGGTTGGAAGCTGACTGGTCAAAGGGTTGCCAACATGGTTTCAAACATAGAGAAGGTGTTGGCCAAACATCCAAGGCTTGAGATCGTGGTTGTTTCACATCAGATTGGCCAGATTTAAGTAGTAAGTACTTGTAGGACCAGGACTGATATGGCGTTGGACAATTCCGCAACTTAACGTTGGTGCCAGAACATTGGGAATCAAAACCCGCCCTGCCGCAACATCTATATATACGTTTCTCCTTAACCCGTTGAACTTTGACTTTGTACTTGGACTCATGTGCCACGTGTGTGTGTGTGTGTGTGTCTGAGTTAGTATGGGAGTGAGTTGTTTCCCTTTGCTTTAGGAATGCGTTCTTTGATCCTACAACGTCCTACAACCATGCCTTAATTTGAAGGGAGGGAAAACTGTTTGCACCATAGATGGCCTTTGACTATTGGCTGGTTGATCCATACACGGGATACCCTCAAGTGTAGAACGAACAGGTATACCAAATCGACCCCTCTATTCTTTTCAACAGGACATCACTGGTTTACACCATTTGGGCCGCTTTGGTTTCGGTTCACTCTCACCCAGGCGAACCAAGCCGCCGTTGCTCGAGGGGCGCTATACAGGTGCTTTGCTTCTTGGCAGATCCTGGACCGTGGTTTTGAGACATTAAGACACTCTCCTGGCAGATGCTAGGATGGTCGATGATGTGCTCAAGCTTGCCAACAAGATCACCTCTCAGATCTCTCAGTGACACCAAAATTAGATAAGACATCATATGTATAAATTGGGATACTGTAGTGTTGCTCTAAGCCTCTAAGCAACTCGGACTCAAAGGAAACCATGCTGACCTTTGAGATCCCATATGCCAATGATATTCAGCGGTCGGATCCGATAGTGCACCCGATATCAATAATCTTCAATTCAGATGTCGCTTTTGGAGGTGCATCCGCTGTTTCATCGGATAATGATCTTCAATATTATTCAATGGTTCGATTGAAGCGAGACATCGAGCGGCCATGCTCAACTGGATGAAGCAGCAAGTCCATACCCTTTAGGATGCTGCATCCAGGGGCACCACTATATCTCAATGTGGCCCATGCAAGTACCAGCGTCCGGCGCAGGGCGGTCGAGTGAAATCTGATTTGTGCATTCAAGCTGAGGAAGATGCAGGAGAGCAGCAGAGCCTTTGATGGAGGGCACACCCCGAAGTGTTGATCATTGACCTACCCAGTCAGTGCATATCCTTAAACCATGTTTAACCTTTTTGGGGGATTGGGTTTCCCCACTCAAATCCAACAGGGTGGAAAGTTCGGTCCACCTTAAGGGTCGGAGGCTTCAAAGCGATCAGGTGGAAAGTGATGTTCACCTCTTCCTGGATGTCCCCGGTTCGGGGGGTGATCCCTGCGCCAATGGTTTGATGCTCCCTGAAGTATTCCATGCATCACATGAATAGAACAGTGAAGGGTGCGGAATGGTGCGGAATGGTATTGAAGAGACACATCAAAAATCCAGCGCGTGTTCACTTGTTGTTTGTTTCTGACCAACCTATCACAAATCATGTCCACCTATTGCTCGTTCTCGCGCCATTAGGGCATGTGACATATGGCCTTTGCTACTGCGCCCCAACAAATACCATGTCTATAGACTTAGAGGACCTAGTATATACCCGAAAGAGTCCACATCCTACACTGGTCGATCTTTGTGTTCCCATGCGATTCCAGGAAGTGCCACCCAGTCAGTCAGCCCCAGCGGTTTCCAACGATGGCCACCTAGATGATGGGCCTTCAGATGCCTCACTTGTCGTTGGCTCCTGACATCAGTAATGGCAGTTGTTGGCAGTTGTTGTTGTTGCTGTTGCTGTTGTTGCTGCTGTTGCTGCTGTTGTTGCTGTTGTTGCTGCTGTTGCTGCTGTTGCTGCTGTTGCTGCTGTTGCTGCTGTTGCTGCTGCTGCTGGTGTTGTTGTTGTTGTTGTTGTTCAGTATGACTGTTGCTCCCATCTCGTCCTCCAGCACCCAGGCGGCTTGCTGGAGCTGGACGTCCCCTTGATGCCCATCGCTGAGCCTTTGGCGCCCGGCCTGGTGAAGGACGCGCCGTTGCCCATCCAGCACGTGCTGCTGGCGGAGGGTGCACACCGAGCCCTGCGAGGTGCACACCGAGCTTGACGGCGACATGTTCACCTCAAACGGGGTAGTCTAGGAGGTGCTGTAGATGGGTTTTGGGGAGGGTTTCGGGCAGCATATGGAATAAACATGAATAAACATGAACCGTTTTCATGAATTGATATATGCTCCCCGGAATCATCATGGTTATGTGGATGGCATGGCCCCCCATTTCGGATAACCATGAAATCGGAAGACCAAACAGGTGGTGAACTCCACTTGCATGATGATTTCAGCAAGTGATTATGCTAGCTGCTATATGTTCTTTCGTTTGAACTCTGTTTCTCAGCCTGTTGGTCAAGAGTTGGGGGATTGAAGCAATACGTATTTTTAGCATGTGTCGAACGAACAGTTCAACAGTTCTTTCGGATTCTTGCGTTTGCGGTTCTTGGGTGATGTTTACTTTCCCCAACTGGCGGAATTTCTGAAAATATGTTTTTTTTCCCGGGCTCCTGGACAGCAAATTCAAAATGGTTCAAGCATTCTGGCCTTTTCGCCTCTACTTTGTTTTCGAGCTCGGAGCATTTCTTCGGAGCAGCTGTGCTTTGCGCCGTATGATGCCGTATGTGTTAGGAACAGCTGTTCCTGCCTGTTCATCAGTTGGGTTTCGGGCCCGGGCCGCTGCATTTCAAAGGCAAGTGTTTATAAGTAGTTTATTGTAGTTGATTTAGTGGCTTAGTGTTTATAAATACCTTGGTGCGTTATAGGATTTAGTTGCCATTCATTCAACAAGCTTTAGTCCAAGACAAAACTCAGCAACTCCTTGGGGCATTGAGGGAAGCTGGCTCCAAATTATATAAAGCATTCAACCCAGCAGTTTGGAAGGAGACCAGGCACTCAAAGATTTCCATAGCTAGCATACTTCCGCCGATTGATGATCAGTGCTGCCCAGATCACTATAGGTCAACACTCGCTTGTGGTCACTCTCAGGGGCTATAGCCCGCTCATCATCGCTAATCTCTTGGAGGATGAAGACTAGAGTCACTAGAGGTTTTCCAAGTTCCCTGAGATGGCCCGCAGGATGTCCCGTCCGGACAGGTTTCCCCCTGGAGATCTTAGAAGACCTGGCCGTGGAGCCACTCGACGGAGTTGGAACTCAGTGGAGCGTCATGTTCTACCAGGAAGGTCGGTGATCAGCTGTGGGTCACCGCACTTGGTTGCACTTGGGCACTCAGAAGGGAACAGGTCGATTGAGAACCGCTTTTCTGGGGATGTGCTGCGGGAAACTGGGAGGAATCACATGTGCA